CAGGGGGGGGGGGGGGGGAAGAGAATTTGCACCATTTTTTCCCAAATAGCCAAGGCACACACACACACACACACACACACAATCATCTCAGCCCCCCCCCCCGCCCCCAAGAAATTCCTGCTGGACCCCTCTCCCCTTTCCTGACATCCCAGGCAAACAAACTCCAATATTAACCAGGACACATTTTATACACCAGGATCGCATAAGTCGGGAAAAGACGAAGCCTCCCCCATAAACGCACATATATATTTATTTCACACAAAGCCGAAGCCTTCCTACAAGTCCCAAATCCCTGAAAAAAAACACAGGAAAAAGCACACCTGGGAGGCCAATCGCCCCTTGTGAAAACTCACCCACCCTGCAAAACACCACGCGCAGTAACCGTGCAAAAACTTCCCCGGTTATTTCTCAGCAAACGTGGCATCGTTCAAAATATATATATATATATATATATATAATTTGCAGGAAGAAAGGAAGGAAAGAAAAACGCACAACACGGATTCCCACCATTTTGGAGCAAGAAAGGGAAACAAAATAAATAAATAAAAGCCAACCAACTAGACGAAAAGATACATTTTGCATTTCCTGTGGCTCCTTTTTTTTTTTTTTGCCGCCCCCCCCCCGGCCGCTTCCAGGCTGGCTTCTCCTCCGGCCGGGTCCCACGAGCCCTCCCGGACACGCGTGGGAAGACAGAGGCGGGGGGGGGAGGGCTGCGCGACTCCCCCCGGCGACCCTTCCCCGATCTCTGCGCCCCGCGCCAGGCAGCCCGGACGCCAAAGCGGAGCAGGACGCAAAGCAGAACTCCGCCGCAAATTGGGGGGGGGGGAGAAAGAAAAATCAGATTTTTTCCCCCTCTTTGGGGACGGGGGGGAAAAAAGCCCCCCAAAGGCGCCCCCCTCTCCCGGCCTGCCTCCCCCTCGCCTGCTCCCCCCCCCGCCGGCCCCGTTTTGATGGGAAATCGCAGACAAAAGAGGGCAGAAAAAAAATGGCAGCCAGTGTTATTTTTAAAACAGGTCGGGGACGCCATATTCTGCAGATCTGGGGGGGGGAAGGGGAGCCCGCCGGCCCAGGGAGCCCGGGGGGGGCAGGGGAAAGGGGGGGCTCCCCCCGCAGTCCCCCCCCAAGGCAGGGGAGGGGAAGGAACCGGGGGAGGGGGGGAAAAAAAAATCAAAATTAGGAAGAAGTCCACCTCTCTCCTCTTAGCCATCGTCTCTCATGGCTTTGGGATCGCTCCTGGCCGGAAGGCTGCGCCAAAAAGGGGATCCTGGATCAGCATGGCTGGATTTTTTTTTTGATTTTTTTTTTTTAAGGATCTGCTTTCTCTCTCTCTCGATCCCTCGATCGCGGTTTTTTGAATCGCCCGGCTTTTTATTTATTTAAAAAAAAAAAAAAGCGAGACTTCCTATGCGAACAGACATGCTCGGCTTGCAAATTGCACCCTCCGCCGCCAGCCGTCTGCAAAGGGAGAAGGGGGCGCCCCCCCCGCCTCCCTCTTTCTCTCCTCCTCCTCCTCCTCCTCCTCCTTCCTCCGGGGAGGGGGCCGAGAGGAGACCCCCCACCCGAGCCAGGCTGGGTGGCCCCGCCAAAGCACGCAGCAGCCTCCTCTTTTGCAAAGCCCCCCCCCCTTGCAGGAGACCCCTCCTTCCAGGAGAGCCCCCCCACACACACACTCGAGAGAGAGAGAGAGACCCCCCCCTCGCCTCCCCCCCCACTGACCTGCAGAGCGAGGGGAGGGGGCGCCGGCAAGTTTGCCCCAGACGGGTACATTTTTCCAAACTCTCTTTCTCCTTCCGACCCCTCCCTTCCCACGCCCCCCCCCTCGCCGCCCTCTGGAGTTCAAGAAGTCAGAGAAGAAATGGGCGCTTCGGCCAGGCCGAGTACCTTGGAGGGAGGGGGGGCTCCGCAAAGAGGGAGGGAAGGGCTGGACGGTATGATTTCTCCCACATTCATCCGTTCAGGGGGTTTTTTTGGGGGGGGGAGGGGAAGAGCGGGTGGTGGGTTTTCCCCCCCTCTGACCCCCCCGTCTGAAGGTGGGATGGTACATCTAGCGTTCCCCCCCCCCCTCCCTCCCTCCCTCTTTTGCTGGGTTCAAATCTTCCGGGTTGGTGGACAGTTCACTTCTGGGTCCTCCGCAAGGCTCGGAGATCTGGGTAGATCCCTTAAAAGAGGGGTTTATTTTTTTTAAATAAAATAAAAAGGGGGGAAACAGAGGAAGAGAAAATTTTGCCTTTGCAGGAAAAAAAAAATAAGAGGAAAGTTTGCAAAATCTTTTTTAAGAGTGGAAGGCCGTTCTTTTTTCACTTCTGTTTGCTCACTCCCTTTTTCCCTTTGTCTCTTTCAACAAATTTCTGTCACTTTTACTTTTTCTTTCTTTTTCCTTTCCACTCTTTTTCCTTTCATTCTTTCGCTTTTTCTTTTGCTCTTTCATTCTCTTACTCTTTCAGTCTCTCTCTTACACTCTCGTTCTTTTTTTCTCATTCTCTTTTGCTCTCTCTCTCCCCTTTCCCCCAACTTGGCAGGGTGTCCTTTCCTCTCTGCCCCCCCCCTCCTTTTCAAAACACTTTTGAAGTTTCCAACTTTACAGGAGAAAGAGAAAAGGGCAGAAGGTTGCAGCCAAGAAAACAGAGGGAGGGGGTGAATTCTGGGTGGGAGGGGCCAGTCACACACCCCCCCCCCCCCCCGCTTTGCACATCCAGATTTTGCAGAGTATCTAATAAGAGGCCGAGAGGGCGGCTTCTTTCCACAGGCCTGCAGGGGTACCTGCATTCCTGGGCTGGATTTTGCCACCCCCAGACCCAAAAGAGGTCTTTAAATGAATAGAGTCTTAGCCCCCTCCCCAATCCTGCAAACAGCTCCTTTGGATTGCTGACCCCCCCCAGGAACCATGTTTTGTGACCCCTCCATTTTTAATCCAGCCCCCTCCCAAGTTAGGAGGGATGCTTAGAAAAAAGGAGAGGGCTGCAAGGAGAAAAATGACAAGGGGCGGCCCACTGAGCTCAGATATGTAAATCCAAGAGAACAGCCCCCCCCTCAATCAGGGTTAGTTTGTTACTTTCTTGGTTACAGTGCTTTTTTTAAAAAAAAAAACCACATTATTTGAAAGTTTGTTATTCTCTTTTGTTACTTTGCTGGAGGGAACAAGAGTTGCTTTTACAACGGTGCGTTTAGTGACCGTCCAAAGTTACAACGGCAGGACGGAAAAAAAGGGGTGCCCCATTCTTGATTCTGAAGCTCAGCTGAGTGCGAGCTCTTGCAAGATTCGAACCCATTTCCTCCCCCTCCCCCCAGCAAAAAAAGTCTGGAGGGCAAACTGTGGCTGAAGACCCCCCAGCTCGGGTTTCCTCTCCGCTTCCCAGGTGGGCAGAGACCCACGAAGGGGGAAGTGTGGGGGGGGGGGAAAGGACAAAACTCCCCCAAGCAGAATCTGGAAGGAAGGAGAGAAGCGCAAAATTCCCCCCTTGCTGGCCGGCCTCTGCCAAGGCAAACAGGAGGGGAGGCTTGGCAGCAGGCCAGGAGCAACAAGGGAGGGGCCCTCTTTGCAGCCCACCCCTCTTGCATGGCAGGCTGGCCGGCCTCTCCCCCCCCCAGGGAGGGGAGGCCTTTGCTGCAAAACTATGTTTGCAGAGCCTTCTCTGCACAGCTGGAAGGGCAGGGAAAGGGGGGGGATAAGAGGCCAAATGCCCCCCCTCCCATTTCCTCCAGCAAGGAGAAGGGAGGGGGCTGAAAGTGGGCCTGGGTCTCAAGAGCTCTCCAAACATGAAAACTTTTAAGACTTGTGGACTTCAATTCCCAGAATTCCACAGCCAGCATGGAGACCCCTGCCCAACTCCATCTGGAAGGCTCCTGGGAAGTGGCTTGCCTCCCCCCCCCCCCCCAAACATAGTTTTAACACTGGGGAACCCCAGGGAGTTTGCTCC